ATTATTGTAATCTTTTTTTAAATATATATGTTTGTATTTGATATATATATATGTATGTATTAAAAACTATAGTATACAAAAATATATACAAAATGTAATTTCAATCGCCTGCAGATTGTTTTATGAAATTAATTTCAGATACATTAATTTGTATCTGAAAGATCCGTGAAATGCCTAATACATCGCTATGGATGAATATTCTTGCTATGCAGCAGGTATTTAAGAAAAATATTCATTTTAATTTGGACTATATATATATTCATTTGCGTCATTTTTTAGCCGTCTATTTAAAAGAGTCATATCACCATTGCTGGTATTCTATATGAGATATCTTCCATAGATGATATCGCTATTTCATCGAATGTTTGATATTTGATGAAAGAACTGTTACTATATTAAAGACAATTGTATTTATGTTTGTAGATTCAATATTCTGTTCTAAAATTTTTTTTTAATATCTCTGAAAATAATTAATAGCCAAAAATTAATGAAAAAATTTTTGATTTATTCCTCATTCCCTTATTCTTTTTTTTTCTTCCCTCCAAATTTTATATTGATTGAAAGCTTATATCTATTTTTCAAAAAAATATTTATTTTGACTTTTGGAATTAATCTTAAAATGTTCCATAAATATAATATGTCCTACAAAATATTAATACTGATATGATATTGAATAATTATATGAAACAGGAAAATCTTCATTGATAATTTTTGGATATATAGAAATCAACATTTTGAAAAATTTTTTCTTTTATATGTTATTGACGCTTGGCTTTAATTAAATTATTGCTATACACATCTATATAATATATAGATATATTCATATGTCCATAACTGTGTAAATATGCAACTGTCATTTATTCTTTGTTAATATAAATATAATAGATAATAGATAACTTGTATAATGGGTAAATTAATAAAAAATCTATTTCGTTATGGATTATTGTTAGTTTAAAATATCTCAACGTCGAGAGCAGATTTTTCTTCTTTAGATTCCAATTTGTGGAAAACAAATATAAAACTAACAAATATAAAACTAAAATATAAAACTATTGTTGAATGACTGTAATTACAATGATCAAAATTACAATAGATATTAAAAATGATGTTAATATTTATTATAATTTTGATCATCCATTTTTTATATTTTATTTTTATATTTCACGGATCCAAAAAAAATTCGGCATTGGATTTAAAATATTTTAAAAAAGTAGTTTTTTGATTTACATATATTTTGAATTTCATCTGTTGCGTTGTGTTTATAAAAATAATAGATAAGTGGTCATAAGTTTATATACATGAAATTATGGACGTACATATTTAAAAATCAACAAAATCATTATTGTATATAATGTATCATTATTATATAGTGAAGATTCTTCTGTTCCAAATAATTATCATATTTTGTTTTATTTCAAAACTTAACATGGTTCGATATTTTTGTAATTAATTTTTACTAAATCATTTTTGTAATGCAGTTTCGATCACTTTGATTTATGTAGTCAAAAACATCATCATGAATAATTTTTCTTTGAGTTCTTTTTTTTTTTTTCGTCATTTTTGACATCATATAGAAGATTTTGAACAATTTTTTCTACGCAATTGTCGTCTAATTTTTGATATATTT